GTAGGATAAGGTTTCATATACGCATCATTTGCTAAGATAATGTACTGCTTACTTCTTTGCAGAATTCACTTTCTTTCTAGAACTGGATGAGCTACTTTTCTTGTTTATCTTCTGAAATGGCCTGCAGTATCAATCAATTATACAAGAGATACTTAGAACGGATATTATTCCTAAAAAATACATGTAGAAGTTAACGGAGAGCAGGGGAGGCAGAAAGGTGACACCATGACATCTTAACAGAATTGCAATTAACCAAAGTACGATAATGAACAACATAACTTTGTAGATTTTACAAGAAAAGAGCAGAGTAGAGAGGTGATACATTAATTGGAAGAATCGCAAAGGCCGAAGTAGGATGATTAAAGGCAAAGCTTCATGGTTTTTTTTTTCAAAAAGAGAAGCGTAAGTCAGTATACCCGCTAACACACAAAGCAAAAAACAAAACAAAAAAAGACTCAATTTCATGGAGAGCTGCTGGTCTAAAAAGCATGTGAGGTGTTGATCAGCACCACAGAATTTGGCAAATTTTACATAGTTTGCTAATCTAACAATCTGGATGTTCATGTTTCCCCCTTTCTTTGGAGTCCCCAATTGAAATGATCTATTATTCAACCACCACAAGTTAAGCCATTTCTGGATAGATCGGGTGAGATGCAAGCAGAAGTAATGATATGAAAAATATTTCAGCAAGCTCCGCAGAACACAAGCATCTAAAAGTTATTTACAGCTACTTATAAAAGAATGATAAGATTATATATATATAAGGAATAAGAGGACAATACTCACATTTCTTTATGTGATGGTGATTGTTGGAAATTTTGTTGCTGCAACGAGGAATGCTACAATGCATCAGAAAGCATACTGGAACAGCTCCACAGTACACAAATAATAATAATAATAATAATAATAATAATAATAATAATAGCTAAACCTTTTTGGGAATGTCAGAGTTGGCGATAGGTTCCCATTTCTCCTTGTTTAAGTTGAGGACTTCTACATCTCCATCATCATACAATATCTGTGACAAAGTTGGCATCAGTTTTATGAAAGTTCAAAGAAAGTGGGATGAATAATACTGATACCCTACAGACTAATCAATCATAGAAGACATAGTTAACAGAAATCTCCAGCTACTTGTGTTTCATCAAACATTTAAGACCATATCAAGTTTACATTATAGGAAGGGGACTGATAATCGATAAAACCCTTCACAAAGATCCTAACTTGGAAAAGTGTTTGACAAAACAGCATTTAAGTTTATATTATTCAAAATACCTCAAAAAAAAGAAAGCTTTCTCTAAAGATTTTCGATCAAAACTGAAGGTTAAAATCCATATTGTTGAAAAGTCCATATTCATGCACAAAGAAAAACATGAAGTCCTTGAAATAAAAAGAATTGCTTTTTCATGTGCCAATTCTCTGAGCACGAGCATTTGCTGGTGAAATTATAAATTGCCAGTTTGTGTATTCATATATATTAACAATGTAGGCATATGTTAAGGAGTAAAATTAAAAATGTCAGTCAACTTACCATATATTTCTTCTTCCCTGGATCATAAGATTGCACGACACCCTCATAAAACCTGTTAAGAGAATCAGTGAAGTTTATGTATGAGGTAGCTCAATCTTTTTTCTGCATTGCGCATGCACGTGCACGCACACACAAAGCACTAACTCTTTTTGACCATACTCAATGCAGACAAAGATATTATAGGCAGATGGTCAAAACTTGTCAAGGAAATATGTCAAAGGGAGAATGTGACATACGCTTTGTCCAGTGGCCACCAAACTTTTATTCTGGATCCAACAAGCTCTTCATTGTTCAATAGAATCCCATGTGAGGAACACTGCACGGGCTTACAAAAAATCAATTGCAGCTACCATATCCTTAGAATGAGAAAAGAGAAGGTTGACACTTCAAAATTCTGCTAAAAGTTGTCTTATAAACTGAAAAAAAGAATTCATTAGTGCTCAAGAATATAGCAACCAAAAGGTGTATTAACTCTTAATGGTATATCTTCAACAAAGAATATAGAGGCCAAAGGTGTAACTTCCAATAGTATAACTTTCCTACGTCAAAAGGGATATTTAATTTATGTAATTTCATTATAGAGTTCGACATACAAAATGTGTCCGATACTGTTATTTAGCAATTAAATATATTCTTAACACAATTTTGTGGAGTACTTTTCTTAAGGAGGATAAAATAATTGGAGTAAGTGATTAAAACAATAAAGAAAAATGGAGATACTGCAATTTAATTATGTGAGTATTATCATGTCATGATTTAGAATATTATAGAAATAAAAAAGGAAAAAAAAGAAAAAAGGAAATAAAAATTTCTCTTGAAGAACTATAATTTTGATTATATGAGTTCAAATCCTATTCTTATGTTATGATTTAGAATGTTCTAGAAATAAGAAATGAAAAAGAAAGAATGTTCTAGAAATAAGAAATGAAAAAGAAAAAAGTAGGGGAAAAAATCTACGTGTGAATTTACCATTTTACCACCAAATTACTATATGGAGGAGGAAAAATGTCCTTCACTCATCCAACTTTCGCTATCCTCACTATTTTTTTATATACTAGTATTGCAAGTGCAAATGCACACACAACCGTCATTAAAACTTAATTATTCTACTTTTTATATAAAATGAGTCATTTTAACACCCTATGCACTCTTAAATATTTCTAAGATCTTTGTATGATATTTATTCATTTAATGTGATATTTTATCTTAGCTTATTTGAAATTAGTTATGACATAATTATATTGGAATATATTGAAATTCTGATAGTTATTTTTATTGTATTTATTTACATTAAAAAACTTTCATTTATATTTATATCTTTTTATAATATAAAATGTAATAGATATTTAATTAGTAAACTCTATTATATGCATTAGAAAGTTCTAGAACTGAACAAAGAGGGAAAAAAGGAATAAATTTGTCAGAAATGACTAAATTGTCCTCATGTCTTTAGTGAGACGAAGGAGATTTTTCCATGTCCTTCAAACTTTTCCAACCCTCACTAAGTTTTTAATATAGATTAGTACAGATGATGGCCAAGGGATATCTGAAGGTTGTTGTCTGCATGGCAAGGATTGTAAATATGAGCACGTACTTTTACATGTTATATGTTCCACCTGATGCTGTTGTATGTTTGCACTGCTCTAACTTTTCCAACATACCCAGGGAAAAACATTAGAGTGCGTGTAAGCAAGGAACAAACATCAGTGTGTGTGCTGTGTCATGCATGTGTCCAGATACGTTGAGTACCTCTATAAATACATGTTTTTGGTGTGCGCGAGAGTTTGGCTAAGAAATGAGAAATTTGTGAGCTTGTATTATATGAGTCATCTGACTCATAAGCTTGTATGCTTTGATGATAAGTTCAAAACATTGATGCATGGGCCATCTACCAACAAACCAATCAGGCCTCGCTTCTTGTGACAGTCGGAAAGCTTTCAGATCACTCATCTGTCCTACAACAGTCTCATACTCTTTAAGTTTTATCCAGAAGCTCACTCTATCTGAGGCCTGGAAGCTTGTTGATATCCTGTTTGGGACTGTACCACACACACCCAACCATCCTAACATGCAGCAGTTGAATACTTCAAACTTAATTGAGAAGCATGTGCCGATCTCTAACAAGTTAAAGCTAATTGATTATAAAATGAAAACTTCCAGAAGCAAGTGCTAACCAGTCAGGCCAGACCAACTACAATCATTCTGTCAGCCAATAAATAGTTGCCTATTGCACTTTGGCGTGGAAATTAGTTGTCATGAGACAGATTGCGCTATTTACTAGAAAACCAGTTATTTTAGGACTTCAACACTTCTCATAATGAATCCACCTGCAGCAGTTCAATACTCTTTTGTTTGGTCCAAAAGCAGAGGTTGACTTCCAATAAATCAAGCCTGAGTAGTAGAAAAATCAAATCAAAACCTTGTAGCCATAGGTAACTGGTGAGGACCGACGAGTTCCAATTATTCAGTAAATGGGACAAAAAGTACAGCTATTGCTATGGGCTATATATATTACATTTGCAATTTTACTCACCAATTTGTTCAAATTAATATATCTATGCGCATAAGGAATGCAAACATTGTAATACAACAAAGTTTTTTGGTGATCAAGGTAGAAAACTAAAAAGAATAAAGTAAAAAGAACTATAGCACGTGGTGGAAGAAACATGGTATCAGGATCAAAATTGACCTAATAGGCATAGTGACAAATAACTGTCCAAATCAAATTTTATACAGGTTTTAAAATTAAATGTGGCTCCTGAAAATTAAAATAAATAGTTTCGTATATCTAATAAATAAGTAGATTAAGAAAAAAAGCAAATAAGCTACTATAAACTCAGTGGAAGTAGAAACAAATTGAACTTTGAAACATACCTTTTCCAAACCAGAAATGCTTCTGACTTTTCTCTTCTTAAGAGAACCCTTAGAGCTTTCTGAGCTTCCAATTTCCTTATCAGTGACTCCTAAGATGGCTGATTTCTGCGAACCCAAAGGTGATTAGACCTGCATTTGGTATTCTTAAATCATCTATTAATACAAAGGTGAGATTACCTCTTCATTTTTTATGATAGCTTCTTTGGTCTTTGGTTCAACATAATTCCTACTTGAAGTGCTTTTGATTGTTGGCAAGTGCGAAACCAACAAGTCTGGATTGGAAGATTCAACATCCTCCATCAACAACTTTTGCGCAGAGGATAAGCCCTTCTTCTTGTCCACATTATTAGCACGTGAATAGGATAGAACTCTGCTTCCATTCTCGCCTTTGGCGCTTTTAGATGGAGACCTCTGCACTTTAGCTGACCTTTTGCGCTTTGGAGTCGGCGCGTTGAGCAAAGCAATGCCATTGGTTTCCTTCCGTTTACGAGATACTGAAGCTCCCTCCTCGTCATTATCTATACTCATACGTTGACTTTCTGAAGAGTCATTGTCTTTGGTTAACTCACCTATTTGCCTGCTCTTTTCACTTTTCATGTTGTCCAGGTTTATTTCCCTTACTACTCCTAAGACATCAAAATCATTTTCTGGCTTTTTTGTTTCAGAAGGTGAAGCTTGCCTTTTCAACCTTTTCTTTTTTTTCACTCCTTGTGACTTAAGAAGTTTCATCAACTTCCCTAATGGCATTTCATTACCATCTGCATCTTTCTCTTCTAAGATCATTTCATCCTTGTCTGCACCTGATACGCTCTGAATTTCAACAAAACGATAATCCAGTGAATAGAATCCTAAAATACAAATTGAATCCAAAAAACACCAAGCCCCATGCACATACACAAATCAAGAAGCACATGATCTCATGCTTTTGACCACACAGAAATATAACAGAAGCAGATAGTATAATTATTTGCTCTAAAAAACATAGTTTGTAAAAAAATTATTCATACCGGTTCTTTATCCTCGAGCTTAAGTGCTTCAAAATGGGCTAGGACACTCTCATTCCCCAACCAAGACTGATCATCGTTGCCCTAGAAGAAATAAACCATGAATATATGCACATGTGATCTCTCCTAGAACAAATGAACTATGAATATATACAGAAACTATCTTAAAACCATGAATATATACAGAAACGATTTCTGGGTGTGACACTTATAAGGTACAAATTCAAAACTTAACAACTTCATATCTTTAGTTATTCAAACAGCAGAACATGCATGCTGGTAAAGCTTTAAGTTAATAGATAGCTTGAGATGCAGAATATTTTGCAATTTTGATGTGAAAAAAGAGTTATTCAACACCAAAGGGCTTGTTTGGCAACTCACCCACTAACTTGGATAAGAGTATTTAACTTGGACGAGGACTTAATACGTGTTTGGCAAAAGCTTGTATAAGATCGGACTAGTCTTTTTTAGTTCAAAAAAGAGGCCCTTATCTAGCTCATCTTTGGACCACCGCCACCTTTTGGTTCAACCCTAACCCGGTGGCCTTAACCGGATTAGTGTGAAGTTGCCAAACACACCCAAAGATTTGCTACAAAGCGTAAAATTATTGTGGGACATTTTATATTCCAATCAAGAATAAATATACTAAAATGTATTATTCCACTTTTCTTGCATCACTGAAAAAGAAGCATATTAAAAATTATCTGTCAATCATGATTTCTCTTAACAATCAACAGTGAACCAATAAAACACATTACTGAACAGCAACATGCCATATACATCATCGTTAACAACTAAGCAGTTTACTGGATCCACGGCAGTCTAGAAAAACAAGAGTATGAATTTATTAAAATGATAATATAATTAATGCGAGTATGGCAATCATTATTACATGGATATACAAGGAGGCAAATCTTCCATGCATCACAGCAAAGAACAAAATGCTACAATTTACACATAAAAAAGAATAGCTGTAATATGAAAAACACTATTCATCATAACAAAGCCGTGTTTTGATTATTTGGAAACAATAGGCAGATGAGAAAAATAAAAGCTGTCTTCTTGTCTAATATATTTCAGAAACCTGTTCTGACATTGTAACCACATGCTTCGACTTAGTGTTTGTTCAGGCTAAAGGAGTTCAAAGGAAAAAAAATTCCCCCCACCCCAACAAATAAATAAATAAATAGAAGAACCTGAACAAGTAGGTTCTACATTAGAACTACTTCATATGAAACCCAGTTACACCCCTACACCCAAAGCAGAATTTTACGCTGTTCTTTGTTTTGATTACTAGGTTTAACTTGTGTTTCCTCATATGCTCCATAAAGCACTATTTATCCTAGTTAGCTTGAACACGTTGTGCCAGTGAAAGCATAATAATTAGCTGCTTCAAGATCATGTTACATTTAAGGCAAGAAAATTTTCATTCTTCACAAAAGCTACAGAAAATAATACTAATTTTCATTCTTCACAAAAGCTACAGAAAATAATACTAAGTACTGATCCCATAAGACCTTTTTAGCAATCAAGCATTCTCCACATTTCTATTGACAACCTCATTTGTTCATTAGCAGAGGATATAAACGGGTTCTTCAAGTGTTGGGGATTGGATTTGTTGAAAATTTTAAACTTGAAGTAGATCATCAGGTTTTTAGCAACAAGGAATAGAGACTTTCATTTGTTGATGTGCTACATCCTGACTGTGGATCATCAATATATACTCTTCACAAGCTGATTCAATTAACTTGTAAAATTTCCCTCCTTGTCATCAGAACTACCTCCTTTAGCGCAATTCTAATTTTCATCTCCCTTCCCTCATTTTCTAAAACCTTTCTTAACTTCCTAAAACCTGTACTCATACATAATTCAGGTCACATGCCCAACATTGTATATCTGCTTAATGATTTATTAAGTGTTAGCTGAACATCTTCTACGCTTCTTTCATTCTTTGAGGCAAAGTGTGCCCCAGCAACTATTTCATTGCATCGCACCACATTGGTAAGATTACATTAGAGCAGCATTAAAACTAAGAACATCATGTATTGTTATCCCATTGAAAAAAAAAAACATTCTTTTCTAGAATAATAAAAATAACAAACCAGAATCATCTAATATATTTAAATCACTTTCAGGAATTTATTAGCATATAGAGTAAGAAATTGTTTCGATGTAATATACTAACCGCAGACTTTTCACCCTCCTTAACAGGCTTATACAGATTAGGCGGAAGAGTTAGTGAAGTAGCCATTCCTGAAATATCAGACTGGTCATTGACTAGTCTTTTTGCCATTGATAGGCCCAGATCACATATAGCATATGAAACCTGTGTATTTAATAAGCACGTAGACAAGTTACAAGGCCATGCTGACAACTAGTATAAGAAAAAGACACAAATAAAAATATAAAATCCATGTCTAGCTCACAGGAACTACACGAACTGAAATGCATAATTAACAAACATGACAACGGATTTGGTTGTCCTACCAATTTCCTACCTTTGACTTTGCACTGTCAACCGCATCTTCTGAGCACTTAATGCTATGGAAGATAGATACTACTTTTATATAGTTCTCCCTCTTGCTGGGATCGCCTCCAAATTGTCCACCTTCATCCCCATGTAACAGTAAAGACAACAAGAGATGCAGACGCCTGGATGATAGAGAAAATTAGCACCAAAACAAAAGTGGCCTTGCATGACACTTTCAATTTCTACAACCACAAGCATCTCTACTCGTATTGATCACCGCAAAGAGTGAGGCTGCTTACTGAGTCACAGACGACTTAACCTCTTCTTACTTTTTGCTTTGTGAGCATCTGTGAGGGTGTGCAGGAGAGGGGCCAGTGTTTGATTAAATATAATCTCAATTATGTAATTTGAAATAACTGTACGGCAAGTGTAGGACATGCATTCATGAAGCATCCGACAAGTTTCCTAAATTTAAAAATATATTTAATAATTGAGGACATGTTTGAGAAGTCCGGAACATATGTCCAAGGACTACCCAAGAAGGTGATAAATGTGTCTTTGCTCAATAGCTTATAAGAACAAGCGTATGTGTGTATAACTCCTCCAGTTCTCCCTACTAAACAGGTTTTGAAGATCCTAGTACGTGGGGGATATTTTAAAACTTCTTATGCAGAGTGACACGATGTGAATTATGATCTTAATAATTATCTAGAAAGTGACCACAAGATGACAAATACAATCATATACTTGCTCAATCCACATATTAGACTGGCATTTGAAAAATTGTTGAGCTCATGCCAAATCCGCAAACAATAATGTTGAGAAAGAACCCAAACCAACAGCTAAATTGGGCAATACATAGATAGCCAGCTTAGGATGAGATATCAACTCATAAACATTTACCATCCTCCCACTACATGGTGATATCACCACACTGCGAAATAAACCATGTACCTCCAAGACAAAAGGAAAGCAATTAACAGGTAAATGCATAAAGCTCACTTTCACTGACTAAAATATCATATTGAGGCTCTAACCCTTCAAAGGAGACTCCATCGGTCTACACAAAAGGGGGGAAAAGTTTCAATAGAAATAGTAAACAATGTTAAAAAATTCTAGGTTCTGAAAGGAATGAAAAGACGGAAAATGAAGACGTGACTCAAAATATGAATATGAGAATTCACTGCATGAAGGGGGTTACAACAGTAGGCCATCTTGATGATTAGACACATAATCTAGGGGAAATATATGAACCAATATAAAGCCCATCCCTTTCACAGAGACGGATTCTTGTCCAGTAGATGAGGAAGCGCTAAAAACTACTTAAGAGTCACCAATAACACCATAAAGAGGAGATTGACTTAAAATGAGGACATGCATCAGACCAGATTCCCTAGAGCTATTATGACAAAGGAAAATAATTGTTCCTCATCAATCAAACAAAGCCAAGTAACATAAGAAATAAACTCTGGTATGTTAAGAATTAAGAATAATTCGATCTACATATTAGATAATATGGAACATGAGTTCACAGTAAATGGGCATATGCTGTGCAAAGAATAGCATATTATGCAAGCTCCGCATCAAAAAGGGAGATGAAAAATTAAACAAAACCAATGTAAAAAAGAAAGAAGCACATGGACCATTATCGATATAATAAGTTCCTCTTTCAGGAGACTTGCAACCAACAAATAAATTGAGTTCAATAATAGAGTACATACCAGTAAAATGGTTCAAATACTTTAAGATCTCTGCGCTCATCAATACTAGGAAAGGAAGGATGGTGTGCGAGAGCATGGACCAAATATACAAGAATACATTCTGGATAAGCTACCGTTGAGTTTCCATCACTTTGCATAGAAAGCTGTCGCACCTTAGCTTGCTGACAAACTTGAATTATTTCAAGTAGATTATGTTTCCCCTGGAAATTTTAAATAATGTAGAAAAAGAAATATTCTCAATGAAAAAGCAAATGCAAACAACAGGGCTAAGAATGAACAGACTAGTTTCATCATAATGCTAAAAAATAATATCAACCTCTGTATATTCAGGTGAGCGGAATTGGTTGATGTTTAACAAGAAGGCACAAGCATACTTTGCATCCAAGAGTCGTTCTTTAATATATCTCTGCACTTTGCTGATGAAGACTTTCCTAGACTGAGCATAAGTGTCCTACAAATTAAGAAAAAACAGTAAGCATACTCACGTAGACCAAGTAACTTCTAAATTTGATTTAGCTGTAGGAAGCTAAAAGTTATGAACTTTCATTTTGTAAGTGAGTGCTAATTAACATTAAGGTCCTGAAGCTTAATGGAACAGTTAAGGTTTGACATGAAATCTTCTAGATTCTAGTGAATTTTACTAAGTGAATAACCTAAAAGTCAGGGATGAATACTTGAATCCTGTGATATTCACATTTTTTTATTGCCTTCTTTGTTATCACTAGTTATTGGTTATCTTAGGATTCTAGTATACTTCACACTAGGCACTCTCTGAAATATAAAATAATATAACGAAATATAGGTTATTCAACTTCATTTACTCCTATTTTGTTGTAAATATTAGTCACCCTCACACCTTGTACAGGCCCAACACTGAAATCTATAGCTATATCCAAGCAATGTAGATGTGGCCATGTGGGTGTCTCTGTATGTGTGTAAACTGCGTGTGCGTGCGTGTATGGAGAGGGAGGGAGGGAGGGAGGGATAGTGTACCTCTGAAAAAGAGAGAGGGGGGAGAGGGGGGGGAGAGAGAGAGGGACGGAGGAATAATGTACCTCTGAAATTCTCAGGGTCATATAGAATACATCAATAGGTATTTTATGGTCCCATTGTCTTGACAACCGAAGAACAGCTTTAGCTGAAGCTAGTCGCATATGCGCCTTGTCTACAGCACTGGAAAGCAGAATGCAATAGTAAAAATCTTAGCAAGTGAAGCACCAGATGTAAATCCTGTCTGCAAAGTCAAGTCAAAGCACTATGTAATGGCAAGTCAAAAATACTAGATCCCCATCAATACCTTGATTCCATATCTTCTGAAATGTCACCGAAAGAAAGAATGTTTTTCAGGATTTCCATAACCCTTTCAATCCCTGGTCGCTGATGAGCATCTCTGACAGGTAAGTAGCTTTTCACCAATGTTTTGATGCCAAATATCTGCGATATAAGAAAATAATATTGAAGGTTCAAGGGTTGTCAAGGTTGACCGTCTTTTTGTTCGGTTTCTGTCTCATATCCAGTTAAAAGCATCCACATTAAGAGCGGATGGTGTTAATATTTAATCCACATTGGAAATAAAGCGGAAAAAAAAAGAATAATAACAAGACAGTCAAAATTGTCACAATATAATATTCAAGTCCACAGTAACAAGCTTCATTCGCTAACAACAAATTGGTATCAGACCCCAAGGTGGAAGATTTTGATAAGGTCAAGCATAGGGCGGTACATCAGTGCATTTGGGTTACAAGTTTTGTGACTTGGTAATAGCTAATAATACTTCGAGATGGTTAGCCATAAACCCAATACAATCATAATTATTCTCTCCAAATCTGGTTCCAAAATGTAAAAGATTATACAGTATTACGTACAAAGTTGGTTGAGATGGATTATAATATAACGTGAAGAGTAAGGGAACTCATGCATCGTCAAAGATAAAGAAGGGGGGCATAATTAGAGAACACTCCATGGTGTCCAGGACTCATCAGATATGAGCCAAGGTCAAAATTGTTGGTTTTGTGTTGCTCCCAACTAAAAGCATCCTAATAGAGTTTAAAAAAAGCACTTTAATAGACGAAGGGAATTAAAGGTTTGTTCCACATAGGAAATAAAGTGGGAAATCAAACATATCATTTGTGGCTGAGGTCCAGAACATAGTGGGTCAACCTTTTGGGTCAAAGTGGTCACAGTCAATTACCATTATTTCACAGGTACGAACTTCACGGGTACAAGTTCATTTTGCCACAGCATTGTTCTTGTTGTTATTGATGATGGTTGGGAGAGGGGGTTGGGTGGTGATGGTGGTAGCCGGTGCACAGGCTGGGTGGGGGAAGGGGATACACATCAAATAAATAATTTTGTATCAAGTAGAATCAATCATTTCAGAACAGTTACCAATACTGACCTTTAACAAACAAAGTTCAGTCCTGTTCGATTCAAATTTCTTCATAGGAACTTCTTTTACCTTCTGAAAAAAAATGAAATATTAACATGACTGATGTCAATTTCAAGGAATAAAAAATTGTTTGAGGAAAGGCATACATTACTGCATTCCAGAATTTTGTGCTTTATGAAACCAAAAATTTCATCCTCCCTAGTCTCAAAAATTGGTGTGGCAATTTGTGCTATGCATCCAAGTGACTGCAATATGGCTGGCAAATGTGTAATGTGTTCTCTCTTCCAATATATCCACTAGCCTCTGTCAATCAAATAATAGATCTCACTGTAAGTACATCATCTAGGAAGTTTAAAGAGACATTCTTTGAAAGTTAAGAATGAACATATAATTGACTTTTGAACTATGATCATATCTACCTTGTAGAGAACGGAGAGTGACTTGAGACCGTCATCCTTGGTAATAGCTCCCAGTGCATGCACAGAGTACTTAGCCTGCTTCCGAGTGCCCTCTAGACACAGTCTTTCTAATAATAGGTCAACTGAACTGAAAACAAGAAATTGAAAATGTCAGAATAGAATATGAACCAACAACTAGTGCCTATATTTTGCATCTATTTTTTTTATGGCTGCACCTTGATGTAGTCGCCAGCTGTTCACGAATGGTTCCTCCAGCCTTTGACAAAACATGAGCCACACCTTCTTTAATTATTTCATTGTCCTCTTTAAGAAGATTAACTAGATTCTCTTCAAATCCAGCCAATAGATGAGGAGAAAAACACGCAATTATCTGTGATTAGGTGCATTCAAAAATTTTCAGAACATTGAAAACCACTTAAATAATGTAGAACTGAGAATAAAGTAGAAATCTGAAATGCAGAAGAGAGTAAGAACATAATATAGCAATGATGAGCTTCAAGGCTGCTGCACATGGTGCTGACAAAGGGCCTTTATCACATAAAGAACAGTTTACAGTGGCTTTAACCAGTCAAGATCAAAATGTAACTAGAAAAATATCATAAATACCACAGCCTGAACATGATTTAAGTTCGTAAAATAGTGACAATGTAAAAGGGGACTAATTTTGAGTGAAAACTTTTCGAAAATCCTAAAAGATATGATCTTGCAAGAATTCTTCTGAACTCAATAAATATATATGGAATCTCCAACATTATTTAACTTCAAATTGGATATGCTCTTTAAGGAGTAAGAAGTTGGAGATGATAAAATGAACATAAAAAAGTTAATAATGACTCTTTATGCCACACACGCACACATACACATGTATGTGTGTGTGTGTGTCTATATATATATATGTTAAGTTGAGATTTGTGTTGTCATGTGATACATATCAAAGCACAAAGCTCAAAGATAACCTTGATGGGTATCACATGCCAACATGAATCTCAAATCTAATGGATAACAATTCTCAAAGCAAATCTAATGGATAAAAAGGTTAGTGGATAGAGCCCTCAATCAATTTAAGTTTATTCTAGCTCTACTACACACGCACATATATATAAGACATATTATTGATGTTCTCAAAACTAAGTCAAAAATCAAATGTGTGATTGATTCAAAATTCGCTAGTTTGTAATTTTGTTACATTATTTTTTTCTTAGTTGCATTATTTATTTATTTTCTTAACCAGGAATCTGATTGTTCATGTAGCTATTATTTAATATATCTTTCCATAATAACTGAGATGTTTACTCATAACATTCTAACCTTAAAGGTTCATGATCTTACAACTTTTAGTCATTCTAATCTAAAGATTCATTCTCCAAATGATGGGCATTAACAAACATGTATAATTTTATTGTAAATGTATTCACGACAACGTGTGATCAGAAGTGTTAGGATTTACTGTATCCCAGTACTCACCTTTCCTTGTATATATTGGTGCGTTGTTTGTGTGCTCATATGACTTTTGTCATGCACAGGTCAAGTTTTTCAACTTTTTCAAATTAAAAAAATATCATGTTGCAAATAGACATATCATTTGGTATCTTATCCATATCCCTTGTCTACATCAATGCTTCACAGGTCACCATAATTAATTAACCTTTTTCCTCCTTGATGGGTTTGAGTATCAAGTACATCTACCAATTAGATCAAACTTCTATCAAACCACAAACAACTGGATGCAAACACCATATGAGATAACTGTGTCCATATGAAGGTCACTACAAAAAATAAGAACGGTCCGCGTGTAAGGAAAGGACAAATGGTGCCTATTAAACTGAAACTTAGGCAATCATGGAGCGAAGGCTTCAAAATTCTTCTCAAAGAAAGCTCAGAGGATGAAGGGAGCCAAGAAGATTGTCTCAAGAAATATGATATAAGCAAACGAGGAAAAAAAACTGGAAAGTGCTTCATATTCCCGTGGTTTTAGCTTACAACACCAAAGTACAAATCTGAGCTCAAGAACACCAGTGCAAATTTTCAAGCCAACTCTCTGAGTATATCCCTTTGAACTTAAAGAGCCCAGTCATGAAGGAAACCTTCAAACATATGATTACAAATAACTTGTTACTGCCATACCAGCATTCTTACGATCTGGGCTCAGATCACTGTTAGAACCACAAACAGGTAAGTTTACAGTCCTGCTACGACAAGTATAAATTCTTAGATGCGACATATTGCCTCACTTCCAATTGTAGGCCAGAAAGGGGGAAAAAGTAAAGTGTAAGTATCATGCTTTGCCGCGAAGACTGTCACGGGTCACCTAGGCCACCAGGTTTTCCTAGGCAACCCCTGGGGCAGAAAAGTTAGCGCATCTGCTAGCATATTGCATCTCAAAATTTCATAATTTACTCTTTTCTCTAACAAACACTTTTCTGTTTGATAATGAAAACATAAAGTTATTTAACCAACATACTATTTAATCAAATTCCTGTGACATGTTGTTTAACATTTTTTTGTAGGAAATTTATATGTATCTTTTTTTACTTTGGGAAAGTTGTATTGTTCATTTGATAAATATATCCACTGCCTATCATCTTTACTTCAAGTGTTGATAATCACTTTAACAATGATTTGCATAAGGTAGAGAGGGTCCACTGCTTTTGACCGTTTAGTCATCCGCATGCCTTAGCACAGAATCAAAAGTAAAACAAATCAACTTAAGAATCAAACTGCATATATTGATGTCAAGCAGACAAACAGACAAATATGCTGCACATAAAATGAATTTCACCTTCACCCAACTCTTTTTGAAATTCTATCCTAGGTGGGAGTGTGAACATGGAAATTCAGCATATGAATCATAAAGAATGTTGATGAGCTTCATCTACAAATACATCTAAAATCTTGTTCATGGATATGAGGAACCTTTCAATAAATAGAATAGAATAGCAAACTTTACCGCAAGTAGACTCATGCACGATGATATAAACTGAACATCTCCAGCAGACTTTTGTGCAGAAGCCACCGTAATTATTTCCTTGACATAGTCCTTGTTGAAGAGAAGATATGAGCATTTTGTTGAAAGCATGCCCATAAAATCATGAAGTGGGTGTTTATCTCCAAGTATCTTAAGCAAGTCATCCTGTAAATAAAAAGGCCACTGGAATAAAATCACAAGCAAACACTCCTATATCCAGCTGAACACAGACATTTTCTTGAAAGAGAATGTAATTCCTAAAGAACTAATGAAGCAACCCTCAGTAAAAAAAACAAACTATCTCACAATAATACTACTGCTGAGAACTTTAAAGGTGGTTATGAAAATTAAAAGTGTATACCCGACGTGACCATGCTTGATGAAAACTAGTGCAAGGATCAAGGAGAGTTGTCAACATTTTCCATATATTCACATCTTTCAATTGATTGAGAATCTGAAAACCCTCCTCAGCCTTTGTAGATTCACTGAATAACCGAGACATATTCCGAAAGCAAACAGAAACCCTTTTTTGAAGTTCAGGGGCATTTTCCTGCTTTTCAGCAATACTGATTGGTAATATATTCTGAAAACATGTGACCAGTACTTGCAAAATCATACATTAGCGAACCTGGTATGTCTGTCTAAGAGACAGATACTTCTGGAATTCTTGCTGTAACCTGCAATCCAACAGGAAATGACCTGAAAATCCGTGCAGAGCCTATCAAAATCTAGCAACTGAAAAGGAAGAGCACAGCCATGAATCGGGGAGAAAGGAAGAAATATAGGCAAACCTTTGCTTCTGCACAAGAACCTGCTCAAGGGCCTTCACTTCTACTTTGTCAAACACCAAAAATGCTGTTGCCCAATGTTTTAGTCTATTGTTGATTGAGAATTCAGGTGGAAACAGAAAACCAGATAATATAAGTTCAATCCCTTCAGGTCTGCAGAAAAATTCCGCATATGCTGTCAGAAGCAAGTTTTTTACGAGGAAAACCTAGAACCAAGTATTCATAAATGAAAATTTAATTGCATAATACACAAATTATTTTCCAAATGTCTTGATGAACACCTCAAGGACAAGTAGCATAAGCTGGAGTCCTTGGCATGGCACCTAAGGCATACACGCCAAAGCAAGTCACTTGCTTATTTTACCAGTATCTATATCCCCTCTAATATTACCGTAGGACAGAAGCACAAGAAAAATAAAGGGAAAAGACCAAAAGAAAGGCAAACATCAAGGTTAGCACCACCTTAATAATATTGGCCAACAAAAATCCTGACAAAAACGCAATACAGAGACCTGTAAGATCTTCTCAAGGTGAGTGAACCTTTCACAAGCACTAATCCTGATCTGTCAGGGTTAATATCTTCACAAGAGAAGTATCAGCAAGCTATTGGATGCAAATACAGTTCAATATGTTACTATATCCAGATCCGGGTGACCATAGGACTATGAAAATTAAAAATTGATTTAAATATGGTATGCCTTACTGGAATTATACGCTGCATGAAAAAGAAAGAAAACCAATCGCCTGACAGTAATAGATTCCTTCTGACGAAGAAAATATTTTCTACATACTGATCTACTGGATTATTTGAAGGGAAAAAGAAAAGCTCAATAACCGATGACCAAACAGGACACTGTTAATTTAATAGTTTTAATGTGATACATAAAAGGGCGGCCCAATGGACAAGGATCCCACCATTGTAGGCTCTGAAGTAAGGTCAGATGTACGCACCCTCACCCCAGCATGTGGAGAGGATGGTAATCTAATAGTTCTAATATAATACGTAGTAGTAATAATCAAGGTTATAAATATTGGATATCTAGGAAATATCGGATATCAGGGAAATATCGGATGGCAAACTCCATATCAGATTGCGGATATCGGGGAGATATCTGAGACATGTGGTATATATCGAAATGCCATAACGGACGCTTCATATATAGTATAATGCACTAAAATGTAATCTCAACATACTTAATGAAATCTAAGCATGTGGAGAGTTATATGAAGATTGCTGAAGAAAAGAAATTATTCAAGGTTAATAAATAAGATGACAAAAAACATCATCTTTAGTTGTCAAGACTTCAGGTGCTTAAAGTCACAAATGTATTTCTTTTTTATATGCTTGCAAAGTCAACCAAATTCCCCAGGGCAGTTGCATGCAAGGAAACTTTTTTAGCATACAAAACATCAGCTTATAACTAGTAATGTAACAGTAAATCATGCAAGTACTGTAAGAAGATACATTCATGATCATCAAAAACAACAGAGGAAAGTCATACAAATATTAAATTGATAAAATCATCATATCCTGCACATTTCCGGAGTGCTTCTTACCTGAAATCTTTGTCATATAAGCATCTCAATATCCTCCCAGGAATCCACTCAAGTTCATCAACACTGGTTGAACCACCAGCGCTCTTCAAGCAATAAAATCTGTATAGATCGGCCAGCTTCTCCATAGTGAATCTTTTTACAGATAGCTGACAAAAAATCAAACATGAGGTTGATAATTTTTTAAAGAGAGTAACAAATGGGATACTGAGAAGAGTATATATGCACAAACAGATTTATCTCGAAGGCGCTCCGCCACTAGCCTAATAGTCTCAGCTGGAACAATTTTCAACGAATGGCAGGCATTGTCGCATATTGCATCAACAACTTGTTCCCGAACATTTTCATTATAGTCCAACAAACGGTCGCTGAGAGCCTCTGGAAATATTCATCATATACATGTGATTAATTCTGGATGAACATTTAATCTGCTAAAGCATCAGGATTATTCTAATTTAACACTGACTCCTTACTAATGATTGAAGGAGCCTCAGGTCGGGAAGGATTTGAAATCAGACAATTCTTCAAGTGGCCAATAACAGAAATACGAACTTCTACAGCTCTGTCAGTCAACCTTTTCAGAAATTCAGAGAATAGTGGCTGAAAAGATTCAGATATAGGAAGTCCTGGTAAAGCAAAGAGTTCACCAAGAAGTTGTACTGCTTTTAGTCGGACATCTAATGCATCTGCCTACAGTTGCACAAATTGGGGTCAGAATCATTATGATTTCCTTTACTTAATTACAATACTTTTAATAATGCTGAGAATTCCTTCATGTAATTACAATACCTTTAATAATGTTGAGAATCATTATGTGAAGGTAATAGTCAAGAATATTATAAACGAATGAAGGACTAGAATAGTACATGAGAGACAGAATGTAGGCTTGATAGGCCTTTGATTCTTTTTAATCAACAACATAAACCACAGGTGTAGAGCTCATGAGCTGTCTCAAGGGGAATTCTTAATATGTTTTTCTTTTCTTTTCATTAAAGCATATCAGTCTCCAATATATTTGATTATTCCATCACAATATGATTAACTGAATATTCCCCCTACAACACAAATAAAGAAGGAAAAGAAGGGGGAGAAGCACAGAAAAGGGAAAAAGGAAAGACAAAAGAATAAAAACAATGATTCTTTGTTAGATATATGAAAAAATAACACGGTTTCCAAACTATACCTTTTTCTTTCACCAACTGATAAGGTTTGCCAAGAATACAGCATTTCCCCGGCTTATTCAAGACTCATATGAAAGTGTCAGTTCACTAACTATTATCAGATGTAAACATAATGAATAACAAAAGTACAATCTTATTTTTAAGATGGTCAAAACTAAGAACCAGTTTCATGATTTTGAAGAAAAAAGAACGATGAATGAAAAAAAAAGGCAAACACTCATGATATAAATTCAGAAGTCTTATATCGCCTAGAAAAAATATAATCAACAACTTCCATAATGTAAAATTAGTAATTAGAGAGTGTGACTAGTAAAGATTTCAAAGAAAATAAGGAAGCTGGTGCTCGACTTGAGTTGGCATGCCAATTCATGAGAACTGATAGCTTAGAAAATATAGTAACAATGCCAACGATGAGCAATACCGTGTAATTTATTGCACGCACAAGAGAAGGTAATAAACTAACAAAGCCAAAAAACAGTAATATGGAGTTCTTACCAACAACTCTCCCGTAATGTATGGAACGATTCCATAAAGGATCTGCGGAGCACTCTGATAAACATCATAAATGACTTCATGATAATCAATTGTGTTATCTACAGAGGTGCTATCACCCGATAACGATGATACAAGAAACTGTTTTATGCAAGGTTCAAGACTTCCAGCACACTCTTTAATAACATCCATAGCAAGCCTCCTCGCAGCCAGAGAAAAATCCTATTGCATTGAGTTTCAAGAAAACAATAAAATCAAAAGAATGCACACAAAATCAAAGTATTAAAAACGATATGTATTGAAGAACAGAAGAATGATGGGTGATCCAGGGAAAAAAAAAAGACTCACAGTTCTCTTTCGACCTAAAGGTGACAGTATGGTACTCAACAGATTATCGTGTATATCTTCACTCTCATCAAGAATAAGGACCATGATCTTTTGCATTGACGCAAGGACATTTTTTGGATGATCATCACTGCAGCAATCAAAGTTGAGCAATTCATATATTCAAATATGTGCTTGCTTAAGGAAGCAAAAAATTTAAAAAAAAGAGTCTCATCTATCTGCAACTATTCCTAAATGAAATCAGTCACAAATAAATACAACAAAAGAAAACATCAATCATAATCCACTAGAGAAGGATGTAGCCTATCAATGTCAAATGAAATCTTATATTCAACATAAACTACAGTGGAATAGCATCTGAATACCACAGTTTTATTTGTCATGCGGCAAAGGTAACTTAGGGATATATAGACTTATGAAGTTACTGGGTGAAGGTAGCAGTGATTTGTTGGTCTAAAAAGAGAGCATTACAGATGATTCACTATGCTGAATATTTGAAAATGAAAGCTCTTATGGAACTACAAAAACTCCAGTACGAATAAATGGAAACCTCACTCCGCTAAATGAAAAAGATATTTTCAAACTTCTCATTTACATAGCTCATGTAACCATTAAACTCCACTAAAAAGAAGTCTCCATCCGAGAAATCGGTTCAGACCAATAGCACCCCCTTAGTTCAAAAACAAATCATGCCCAGACCCTTAAACTATGCATGGTTCAAACATGAACTTGATTTAACACTATGCATTTTGTGTTAGAAAACTAGAAACTAAAGGCTGTAAAATGTATCCCCGAGAATCATGTACTGTACTTTTCAGCAATTGGAAAGTATTGTGCATATCGGTCTGCAGCAGGCACCCTCTGGAGAACAGAGAAAACAAGAAACCCTCAACGACCGCCCAATTTATAAAGCATAGGCTCAAGAATCACTTTACTTAAGATAAAGTTGGAACCTTCACAAGGTTGGTTAAAGATATGATCACCAAAGGTGGAACATAAAGGATGCATCTCTAGAAACTAAATGAGTCTCTAAATCTAAAGGTGCTGCCTGCCAAAAAAACTCAAGTTCACAAATTAACTAGGCATTCCCATCACATATGAGAGACAAAAGCAAATATAAAAAAGTTCTACATCTCTGTAATTTGAATATACGTACCTAATAACAGCAAAAAATGTACTGAACATTTCGCTAATAAGATCATCGCATTCGAGATCCAACATCACGACATATGATCTGTATCTTGCAAATGACTCCAAAATAACAACCCTCCTTCCAAATGATGGACTGTTAATATCACTTAATCCACTAAACGTGCTTACAATCAAATGAAAAATGTCCTGCAGGAGAACACATTCAGAAGCGAGCACATAATAAACAAATATTATAGTGTGCAAAGACTGTCATTTAATATGTCCATAAGAGTATTGATACAATAATATTCTTGAAAGGTAAAGGTACCCTTAGAACATCATCGCTGAAAGGAGCTTCTGGTGCAGTTATCCTCGTGATTTCACAAATGCATGTTGCTAACAGAACTTTGACATCCCTGTCTTGATGCTTCAGCAACCCTTGTTTTGCAACAGCATTAATACAAGGCTTCATCGCATCTAACATTGAAGGCAATGGAGACTGCTCTATCTCAGAGAGACAATTTGCAGCTTGCTACAAAAGAGGGAAAAATTTAGAACAAACAATTGCATTAATCAATACTCCAATGAATTTAACATTGAAGGCAATGATGACTGCTCTTTCTCAAGAAAGCGATTTGTGGCTTGCTACACAAAAAGGGGATTGGTTTTTGAACAAAAGACTTTCACCAGAATATTTGCAGTTCTACATGTAAAAATAAGCATCAGGTGCAGAAATTAGTTGTTTCAGGCGTTGTGTACACATCATACAATCCTTTTCAAAGTAATCATCTAATTTTTTTCTAAGAAGAGCTCACAAACATCAATCAGCTCTTTTTAACAGAAGTAAGAATTGTGACGGTATCACAAAATTCCAAACCATCAAGCAAACTTCAGCATGTGTTAAGAGTATCAACACGTCATGTGGCAGAAAACAGCACTACCAAGAAGTGGGGAAAGCAATGATTCATGGAACTATGACATAGACAGGTGCTAACTGCCAAGCAATAGGCGAAGCGGAAAAAATGTAATGATCAAACAAAAACATGGAAAGCACAAAATAGCGAAAGCACATAACATACTGATAAACTATTACAGACATTGCATATGGAACTTACCAATGATATGGTAATATACACAAGGTTTTAAATATCAGATATCGGGTTCGTGTCGGACGGCTGAAATCCATGTCGGATAGCGAAAATCTGGGATATATCGGGGACATGAACTAACTATCGGATTGCCATATCGGGTGGTACACATATGTATAATATCATGTCCTAAATGTAATCTAAGCATTCCTAAATTCAATATAAGCATACTTTATATCCTAAATGTAATCTAAGCATTCCTAAATTCAATATAAGCATACTTTATAAATTCTATAGACTAAACATATAAAAAACTAAATCTGCAAAGTCCAATATAAGCATACTTTATAAATTCTATAGACTAAACATATAAAAAACTAAATCTGCAAAGTCCTCTTATTCAGCATACTTTATAAATTCTATAAAAAGTAAAGACTCATCACCCCCAAACAGATAAAATTAAAATTTTCTCCCCTCTGTGATTATCCACAGAGTTGCTACCAGACTGTCACATGAAGAAGAAAAGCAGAAACTCTTTGAGTATTACATGTTTATATCATTAGATGATAAACATGGATTATTACGAGAAACCAGGGATTATTACTAAATGATAAACAATGATCATTACGAGAAATCAGCCAGATGTCTTGTTTTCCCAGCATGCTGCCCAAAACATGTTGCCAAACATTGAATTCTATAAATAAATAATTTACAACAACAAAAAGCATAGAGCTATTTGAATAATAATATAATGTAATGTAACAAAAAATAGTAAAAACAAGGAAAAACAGTAAATTAAGACATTGAATAAGATAAACAATATGAAATCAACACTAAAATCCAGACGATGTGAAAATCTTCTAAATCTAAAGGTTCTGAGAAAGAGAGAGAGAGAGAGTCAGGCGATGAGAAAGGGACTCTCATACCTGACAGCTGAAGAAGCTGAGGAAAGCTACAACTTCGACTTCGCGCATGGAAGAAAGAGAGGAGAAGACGACGCCGGAGATGATGGACTTCGATGTCGCAAGGAGGAAAGAGAGGAGAAGCCAGCGATGTGAGGAGAACGAACACAAGACGAAGAAGACGAAGGCGGCTGATGGGTTCCCAGTCGTAGCCCTAGTTTTTTTTTTGTTTTTTCTTTTGAACAGGTTCGTTTCCTTATCGGGTTCAAAAACAGACCCTTAACATCAGAACAGGTCATATGGGTTTGGGTTTTCAAACCTAAACCCAAACCCAATAAGTGAAAAACGTTTTAAACCGACAATAGAGCATATCGGTCGATTTTTCGAAGTTGAAAAGTCAGCCGATATGCCCGATATATCGCCGACATATCCGATTTCCTCCTGAAAAATGACATGCGACATAAAATTGCCTGATTCGTGTCGTTTGAACCCTAATTCCGACATGTCGGCCAACATATCCGACATGTCGGCCGACATTTAAAACACTGAATATACAATTCCATCACATGCACTTCTATTTATCTCAAGATTAAAAAAATATGGAAGAGGGGGTAGACATGTTAAATTTCATAGGAAGCCGACATGTCCGACATGTCGGCCGACATTTAAAACACTGAATATACAGTTCCATCACATGCACTTCTGTTTATCTCAAGATTAAAAAAATATGGAAGAGGGAGTAGACATGTTAAATTTCATAGGAAGCCCATCATTGTCAAATAAGATGTGGAGTAAATCACAGTATCATCTAAGATTATGATGTTTAATGAAGTAAAATTTCGGCCATCATGCTTTCACATGAGATGACAACAGAGTGCTTAAACAATATTTGACTAAGTGAAAGAGTCAAACTAGTTTGCAGTTCGTCCAACCAAAAAACCTATAATTATAACAAAGTTTCCAGCAAAAAGTGGAAAATCCATTTACTCATTCTACGTCATTGGCCCATTAGACTAGCTCGGTTTTTCAACAACTTACTTTTCAACAATTAGACTGACTAGCTCGGTTTTTCAACAACTTACTTTTCAACAATTAGACTGAAGCAATAGCCATAAAGAAAACATGCAAACACAAAAAGAGTAAAAGTGTCATCTTCTGCTATTCCTTGCGTTCCTTTAAAGCTATTTTGAAAAGTATTAGTTCCTTTTTACAAAGCTATTTTGAAAAGTATTGATTTAGTGGTCAATTTTTGACATGTTGTGGTTTATAATAAACTTTTAGGCTTTAATCATTGATCAGTCAATGTCAAAAAACTAGCTCTTAACCAGAATAAATATGCTGTGGGATTAAAATGGAGTTCAATTATATATTAATGTGTTGTTGTAAGGAACTTCACGATTTTGCACAGGAGTGTTTGCAGGTCTTCAACTTTTGCCTCCTCTCCTTCTTGATGTCGGTTGAGCATAGAGCTAAAAAGCCTATTAGATGGCTTGTGGATAGGAATCCATGCTATGAAAAAAACATCAAGAACTGAATAATATAATATTCTGAATTCTTGATTTTTTTGTCCATAGTAGGCAGATAATTTACCTCTGAAAAGAAATGAGTCCATATTTAAACCCAAACATGGGTGTATAATCAAAATTTATCATGGTAATGCCAATGATCTTTGCCAGCATAGTAGCAATGCCTTCTATATGCATTGTACAGACTCTAATACTGGCCCCAGAAAGGTTTAGCCAGTATTGATGTTCCAGAGATAGTTGATTGGCACTGATAGTCAACAAGTATCACTAGCAGTACCTTTCATGTTCCATTTCATTATAATGGGAGTTTTTCATGGGTGGTCGTTGTTATGGAAGTATATGATCAGTACTAGTATTGTTTTCCGTTTTTCTGGATGTTAAACCACTTTTGCTTGTGTAAACCATCTGTGTTTGTATAAATTTACTATTGACCTCAATTAGTCTGGGCTTAATATTGTGTCTTATAGTTCTCTATTGTTCTCTCTAGTTTTACCATAGTCTTGTTTGCCAAAACAAAACAAAAAAGAATCCACAATTTTTAACAATTAACAAGTAACTAGATCCTAATAACATGGTGCTATCAATAGGCGTAGCTAAAAGCCTCTACCAATTTTATCAACCACATCACTCCGTAAATACCCCCAACAAAATCAAGCCTCTTAGTTGAAAATATTGCACCATGCTAATCCTCCGTTACAGATTTTCACTTAAACTATGCCCTTATCACAATGTCCCCACACTCCCAGCATCAGCTAGGGTTGTGCATGGTTTAGTCCAGACCGAAAAAAACCGACTGAACCGACCAAAAATTAGCAGTTCGGATCGGTTTTGTTTGTAGGTCGGTTCGAATCGGTTGAGAACTTTTCAACCTGAATTGCCCGAACCGACCGTATCACTAATAACACTATAATTTTTAACTCGTGCCCATTAGAAACCATACCCGACTCGTTCACTAAAATCCCTCAAATCTCAATACCTAAACCTTAAATCCAAGCCCGTAGCTGCACTTCCTCTCTTTGTTCGTAGTTCCGCACTCTCTCACACTCTCTGCACTCCGCAGCGCACCGCAGCGCACATCGGCGTAGGCGCAACACCACAGGCGTAGCTTCTCTCGTCGACTCTGACTCGCCGATGTCGCTCGATTTTCTTTCAGTCGCCGACTCGATTTTCCTTCACTCGCCGCCAAGCAGGCACTCATCATCGTCTTCATGGCCGAGGCCGAACCATCTCCTCCGGATCCATCTCTTGCTTTGGGGACACCCACATCCGTAGTGAAGGTATAAACTGAAAACCCCAATTTTGAATCTATGCTTTCAGTTTCGGGGGGAAAGATCTAAACTTTTTAGTTATTGATGCATGCTACTAGATTGTAGATTAGTGAGAAATAATTGGTTTAATTAGATTTTATAATTAAAATTAGATTTTCAGCGGGACTACAAATTAGATCATAAAAAATACACATTCTCACAAATTAGAACCGAACAAACTGAACCGAACCGACTTGCAACAGTTCGGTTCGGTTTTGAATAATGGGTGGTTCGGTTCGGTTTTTCAAAATTTAATAAAAACCAAACCGAACCGACCGACCGTTTGCATAGCCCTAGCATCAGCATCGCAATATTTCACAAAGAGACCCAAAATTTTGGGAATTTGAAAGACAAAAATCTTAAATCTAAATCAAAAGTTTGCAAGTCTCCATATTTACACACATTTCCACATAATATGCATTACCTAAAGCTCTCAAAACCCTAAACTTCACGAAGAAAACCCAAAATGAGCAAAGAACCCATAATTTATAGCACTTGCACTTACTGTCCATCTTGAATCAAAACCTTCTGCAATTAAAACAGTAACAGGCTTCCGCATGAGTTGCACCCCACCCAGACATCTCAGTTTCCCCAAGGTTTTCCCAAAACTTGTGAAAAAGAGTGATACGTGCCACCACCATTCACAACGTGGATAAGTGGGTAGTTGTGTAACTTGTGTTTTACTCAGTGGATAGTTATGTTTTGTGGGTAGCTGTATAAAGAAGAGTGGTGTTAGTGGGTAGAGATAATATTAGTGTAGTTATATATAGTTGTTGTAATGGAGATGATGGGATGAATGATAATTATTGTTTGTTTATCCTCTAGTTCTTCTCTTTATCTTCTTCCTCTGTTCCTCTTCTTCTTCCTCTATCAAATTCAACCTCATCAAAGAGACAACCCGAAATTAACATTATCGTCGCCTTCACCAAAAAGAATCAAAACAACCTCAAAACCCTAACTTTTCACTAGGAGCCAACAGAAAGTAAGCGCACACACCCATTTGAACACCCGTTTGACATCTAAAAATCCCAAATTTTTCACAATTAGGTCACGGCTCCATCTCAACTAAACCCTAAATTGAACCATTCTCAGAAGCCAAACTCCAAATCCCAAAAATTGAGCAAACAAAGCACAGATCAGAGAAGAACACCAGCTCAGAGACAAGAATCAACACGAAATTGCGAAAGAGAACTCACTTTCAAAAGCTTAATCAGTGCGTCTTTGGAAGCAGGAGGGCTCCCAAGCTTCCCTCCGACGTCTCTGAGCTGCTGCTGCTGCTGCTGCAGCGCCATAATCCGCCGTCAGTATCGAATCCGTGGAAAATTTCGAAGGAATTCGTGAAGACGAAACGAAAATAGAAGAGTTTGGGAGAGCTGAAAGGGCTCTTTTGTTTGGAGAGAGGGGGGAGAGAGAAATAAAAGGGATCAGGGTTTTGAAAGAGCGGATTTGAAGGGAACCCGTGGATACTATGTGGAGTTCGGAGTTCAGACAGACTTCAGATTTGAGAGGTGGTTACGATTGGAGTGTCCCCCTCAGTTTCGGATCCTATTACGAGATTAGCCCTGTAGCTTACTTTAGGGTCTTCCTTTTTTATGGCCTTTACTTTGCTGAGTAATGAGAGGCTTGAAATCATAAACTAGGCAAATTTCACGCCCTGGCCCAAACTCCCAAACGGGCCAACCCAATCCTCCTCTCTCTCTCTCTCTCTCTCTCTCTCTCTCTCTCTTAGATATATATCATACTCCCCCCCTCTCTCTCTCTCTTAGATATATATCATATCATATCATATCATATCATACTCCATTTAAAAGTACGAGTTCGGAAAAATCTTTTTATGACCAATATTACCCTTAGGTTTTTTTTAATATTACATTGTTATTCTAATCTATTCTAATTATCTTATCTTCTTTGAATTGGTAACCAAATGATTTATTCTTTTCATAATGAGACTTAACATGCTATTGGATAAAATAGATATGTTTCATATAATTCAAATCATTTACTTATTTCAGTTTGTAGAGAAATCTAAAAAATAATGCTAGCCAACATCTAAAACTTTTGGACTTTGTAAAAGCATCTTGAAAATTATAAATTTAATGCACGTGGTTAAATTACAAAAACACACCTACAAATTTAAATTTTTTATTAAAGCATCTTGAAAATTATAAATTTAATGCACGTGGTTAAATCTCATGATTACTTAAATTAATAAAAATAGAATAAAAATAAAAAAATAAAGTTTTTTTGGGATTGATTGTCAACACAATAATCTATCTCTCAAATGAATTATTGTTATTGTTTCTTTCAACTCAGACTATGGTTACGTGATCTACTATTTGTGAGTTATAAATACATTAATCTAGGACAACATCTCTGTTTATTAGTATTTTAAATTCTTCAAAAGATAGGTGATCATTCAATTCGTAAAGGAATTTTACATATGAATTTACTTACAATATGTCCATTAAACTTTTAGTTGTGGTTTGACTCATATTCACATTAACTTGTAGTAGTAGTTTTACTCAAATTTACATTATCTAATATTCTCATTCAATTTTATAGCTCATTCTCCGTACCATATAAGTAAAATTAAAAGTACAAAGAATTATTTTCTTGCGAAATTAGAACAGGGAGATTATAATATATTTTCGTCTTGTGCTCTAAACATAAAAATTTATTTTTTCTTTGATGCGAGGTCTTTATCAAATCTTGTCCCAAACGATGTTCATGAAAAATACTATTATAACTCACTTGCTTAGGCCAATTGTATTGTATATATGACATATAACTCATCTAGAATATCTGCATCTGCTAAGTGGATTTTGCTGTTGTAAAAGTTAGAGGCTCGCATTCAAACTTTTTGGCTCTGTAAAAGATACAAGAATTTGGAGTGCACAGCTTATATATCGTAAAGAACATACAGGTTCATGAATAATTTTTCCTAATAACAATATTATTACAACGATATCACTATTCAGTATTAAATCAATTTTATTATATAAGATTACATAACCCTTTTTAATAAATTGTAAAGTATATATATGGAAGCCCCAATGCTTATAATAGTAGTTGGGCTCTAAAAATTAGGTTAACTTTACATTGTAGTTTGCTAGTTGTAGTATTATTGGCAATGCCATTATCTTTTCTCTTTATCTTATTATTCACGTTTTACTGATGTAAGTTCTTTTTTTCTAATCACTCAATTGATTATATTTAGTTTTTATAATATCAGAATTTAGAATATTCTCTTCTGTTAAAAAAGTGTTTGCATGATTTTCTTAAAAAAAATATACACGTAGTAGTAATAGTATATGTACTTCAGTTCAACTTAAACATTAGTTTGAATCTATTTAGAGTAAGGTACTTTCTACGCTAGAATAGTGATATAGTGATTACACAATCCAAAAGTAAAAAACGAAATTTCTACAAAGGAAAAGTATTTAAAATGTAAAATTAATAACTAATTTATAAAATATATATGGGCAGTGCAGATAGCTATAGAAAGTAAGGTATATATCTTCATGAATATTCGATAGTGAGTGACCAACTATAATCATCATAATTTAAGCATAAATAATTATTATTTTAGTTGCAAATTACCCCTCCAAAGTTTGAAATTTTTTAATAATTTTTTTATAATTTCTTCATTTTAATGTAATGTTTAATAGTTTTGTGTATTTGTAAATTATAAATTTTAGAGTGCTTTTTTACACTTTTTAAAACTTTTGAGGGTGTCTATTTTATACTTTTCTAAATTTTTATTGTGTTTTCAGTATAATACACATATACATCAACTAATGATTATATTGAAAAATAAGTCATTCTTAAGATTATTAGACCATAGTTAAGTGTGCACATCACTATTCCTATTTTATTCTATAGTTACGCATATCAAATTAGTAACTAAAATAATAATTATTTATGTTTAAATTATGATGATTGTAGTTGGTCACTCACTATAAAAATTTTATGAAAATATATACCTTATTTTCTATAGCTATTTGCACTGCCCATGTAAATTTTATATATTAGTTTTTAATTTGACATATTAAATTACTTTTCCTTTGTAGAAATTTCTTCTTTGATTTTTAGACTATGTAATCACTATATCATCATTCTAGCATAGAAATGACCTCACTCTAAATGGCTTCAAGCCAATGTTTGAGTTTCACTGAAGTATATACTATTGTTACTATGTGTATATATTTTTTAAGAAAATCATGTCAACACTTTTTAAATAGAAGAGAACATGCTAACCTCTGATATTATAAAAATTAAATATAGGCAATTGAATGTTTAGCGAAAGAGAACTTACATCAGAAAAGTGTGAATAATAAGATAAAGAGGAAATGTAATGATATTGCAAACAGTACTATAAATAGCAAACTACAATGTTAACCTATTTTGTGGAGCCCTACTACTGGCTATAAGCATCGAGGTTTCTATATATATACTTTATAATTTATTAAAAATGGTCATATAATCTTATATAATAAAATTGATTTAATATTGAAATTTATTAAAAATGGTCATATAATCTTATATAATAAAATTGATTTAATATTGAATAGTAATATCATTGTAATAATATCATCTTATATAATAAAATTGATTTAATATTGAATAGTAATATCATTGTAATAATATCATTATTAGAAAAAAAATTTTGAATCGATATGCTTTTTACGATATATAAGCTATACACTCTAAATTCTTGTGTCTTTTATAGAGCCAAAAAGTTTGAATACGAGCATCTAACATGTTGTTCTCACAACAACAAAATCCACTTAGGAGATATGGATATTCTAGATGAGTTATGTATCCTATATATAATACAATTATCCTGGAAAAGTGAGTTATAATAGCATTTTTCATTCACATCGGTTTGGGTAATATTTGATAGGGACCTTACATCAAAGAAAAAAAAATTATATTTAGAGCATATGGCGAAATATATCATAATCTCCCTATTCTAATTTCGTAAAAAAAAATATTCTTCATACTTTCAGTTTTACTTCTATGATATAGAGAATGAGCTATAAAATTAAATAAGAATATTAGGTAATATAAATATGAGCAAAACATTAACTAAAAGTTAACATGAATATGAGTCAAATCACAACTAAAAATTTAATAGACATATTACAAGTAAATTCATATGCAAAATTCTTTTGAAAATTGAATGATCACCCATCTTTTAAAGACTTCAAGATACTAATAAATAAAGATATTATACTAAATTAATGTGTTTATAACTCACAAAGAGTAGATCACGTAGCCACAGTCTGGGATGATGAAAACAATGATAATATTTTATTTGAGAGAGATATTACTAAGTTGATGATGAATCCCACAAAAAACTTTTTTTTCCCTTTTTTTATTTTTACTCTATTTTTATCAATTTAAATAATCATGATATTCAACCACGTGCATCTTAACTCATGATATTCAATCACGTGCATTGCACGTGCATCTCAACTAGTATATAAATATGAGAGAGAAACGAGTATGCTTAGTACCAAGCATAAGTTTTGTGCTTTGTAGTGAGGTGGTATATTTTCCTTCACTCATTGAAATTGGGGCCCACATTCACATAGGTTGATGAGTGGTTGTGAATTTAAATGAGTGGATGAGAATATAACACCTCACTATCAAGCATAAAATTTATGCTTGGTACCAAGCATACTTATTTCTCTCTCTCTCTCTCCCTCTCTCTCTCTCTCTCTCTCTCTATCTCTCTCTCTCTCTCTCTCTCTCTCTCTCTCTCTCTCTCTCTCTCTCTCTCTCACACACACACACACATATAGAGAGAGAAATAGAGAACATTAGTACCAAGTTGCTCTATTGAACTTGGTAGTGATGTGGACTAATCTGACCCCTATATCATTACTCGAAAATAGAGTCTCAATCACTTTTTACCTACTCCAATGTAGATGTAGGGATCGGATCAATCCACATCACTACCAAGTTCAATAGAGCAACTTGATACCAAGTTTCTCTATTTTTCTTATATATATATATATATATATGAGAAAAATGGAGAA